TAAATAAAAGATCATATGAACCAAGAGATATTTTACATAAAAAGAAACGTTTAGCTGCTCATCGTAACGAGAGTGCCCACAATTTTTATATAAAAATGCTAATCTAATTAAAAGAGAAAACAATACTTTCAAGGCGAAAATATTTAGAAAAGGCTTTGATGGATGTAAATTGGCTAATTCGGCCGCTGTCGGGCAGTGTTTAGAGGAAGTACATAGAAGTATAACTGTAGTTTTTTTTTTGTCAGAGGGGAGGGGGGTCATATAATATAGACCAACATGAAAGGTTGAATTTATATCAGTAAAACGATGTTCCTTAGAAGATATAAAAATATTTGACAGGAATTCGATTTAATGAAAGTAGTTTGTCGGGCGGTGTTTACGAAAACTCTATATAAGAATATTTTAGGCGACTGTATCATTTCTTAGTTATATAATATACATCAGTAGAAAAGGCATAATTGACATCACATAAATGCTGTTACATGGATATTATACAAAATATTTGATTTGAATTATATTTATTATATTTTGGTGATATTTTAATTATATTTATTAATTATCAAGCGGTATTTAGCGAATGTACATAGAAGTATATTGAGGCAACATCGCCGTTCTATTAGGGACTTAAAACCAATAAAAAGGCAGAATTTACATCACGTAAACGCTGATATTAATAAGGTTTACAAAGTCTTGGCATGGAATAGATTTAATGAATCTAAATTAGTTAAAACATAGTTAGCCTAGGTCTGTCGTCGGGCGGTATTTAGTGAATATACTTAGAAGTACAGAGTGTTCCAGAAGTCTTGGGAACATTTCACGTCCTTATATCTGCTGAATTATGAATGCTGGTAAGAAGAAACTGGTACTATTTTAAAGCTAAATTCATTAAGTGTTTTTTAATGCTAATCATTTTTTTTCATATTTTTCCAGATACAGTAATAGCATTCACTCAACCAGAAAAGACGTTTTGCGTCTTTGAATTTACAAAAACTGAATCATGGACACTTGTTCAACATGCATTTCGCACAAAATTCCAAAAAAGAGGCACCAGAAAGGAAGTCCATATTGAGATGGAATGGTAAATCCATGAAGGATGGGTTTTTGTGCCCAGCTAAGAGAACGGGACGCTCCTCAACTTTAGATGATTCGGTTGAGCGAGTTCGATCTGCCTTCAAGCGGAGCCCCCGTATATCGATCAGAAGATCCAGTAAGGAACTTCAGCTTCCTACAAAAACTGTTTGGTATGCTTAAAAAGACGACTGCACATGACACCTTACAAGTTAACACAATATTTGTAGGACATTGATAAACCAGCTCGTCGTGACTTTTGCATTGCAATTCAAGAGAAGTTGGATGATGACTGATTTCATGTGTACCGTGTGACCAACGGTGCTTACATTGAATATCTTTGAACATTCCATGTAAAACTTGGGATTAAATTCTTTCTGAGTATGTCTGGCGCGTTTTTATATCCTTAATAGTTTTCGAGATATTCAATGTCAAGACTTTTGGAACACCCTGTGTTTGTGAGGCAACAGTACCATTTCTTTTGGGTGATATAATATACTCCACAAGAAAAGGAAGAATTTAGATCATTAAACTGTGACAATTAGATATTATACAAAGTATATGATACTAATTAGATTTAATGAATCTAGACAGGTAAATACATATTCGGCCACAGTCTGTCTTTGTTGGGCGGTATTTGAGGAATGTACGTAGAAGTAATAGATGGAGGAAACGGCACCGTATTTTGGGGGCCATATAATATACTTTAAAATCAAAGCTGCTAATAGCTATACAAAGTATTTGATATCAATTAGGCTTAGTGAATCTAAATAATTTAATGCATATTCTTCAGTTGGTTAATACATTTTCTTGCTGGCGACGAACGTTGGCGGCGGTATTTAGTGAATTTACATTGAGGAAACACCAACGTTTTTTTTTTTTTTGCTCATATAATAGAAAAGGTAGAATTTAGATCACAAAAAAGATGATATATAGATGTTTTACAAAGTATATAATATGAATTATATTTACTGAATCTAGACTGGTTAATACATATTCGGCCACTGTCGGCCTTTGTCGGGTGGCATTTAATGAATGCACATAGAAGTATATAGAGATAATGCCACGGTCTCTTTCGGGTCACGTAATAGAAAAGGAAGAATTTAGATCACTTAAACGCTGATATTAAAAAGTATTTAATCAAAGTATTTGATATGGATTATATTTAATGTGATGTTATCCAAAGTATTTGATATGGATTATATATATATATATATATATATATATATATATATATATATATATATATATATACAAAGTATTTGATATGGATGATATTTAATATGATATTATCCAAAGGATTTGATATAGATTATATTCAATGTGATGCTATCCAAAGGTTTTTATATATATATATATATATATATATATATATATATATATATATATATATATATATATATATATATATATATATATATATCCAAAGTATTTGATATGGATTATATTTAATGAATCTAGATTGATTGATATATATTCGGCCTCTGTTGTATAGCTGTCGGTCGTTGTCGGGCAATATTTAGTGAATGTACATATTCAGGAATCGAAAAGCCGAGTTCGAATTCCAGTCGAATCCATTACATTCACTTACGTGCTAATACCCTTGGGAAAGTTATGAATCCTCTTCTTTTCCCACCAGCTATGAGTAAATAGCAGGACAGACCGGGTTCTATAGCCTTGGATGGCAACTGGTCTACCGCAGAAAGAAATGGCAATCTACTGCGGGAAAAAAAACTGCCCCGTCAGTCATGTATCTTTCGATACATGATCGCCTAAGCGTGTATCACGTATGGCAATATAACTGACTGAAATTCACTTACGTGCTAATACCCTTGGTAAAGGAATGAATCCTCTTCTTCTCCCCCAGCTATGGGTAAATAGTAAGAAAGACCGTGTTCTGTAACCTTGGATGGCAACTGGTCTACTGCAGAAAGAAATAGCAACATACCGCGGAAAAAAAAACTGCCTTGTCATTAATGTATGGAAAGATACATGGTCGCCTATGTGTGTATCACGCATGGCACATAACTGACATAGATGTATATTCAGGCAGTTTCTTTTGAGTCATATGCTCCAAATAAAAGGCAGAATTTAGATTACATACGCTGATATGTAGATTTTTTTTTGGAATTATTTGATATGAATTAGCTTTGATGAATTTAGATTATTTAATTAATGCATATTTTCCTGCTGTCATCGTTCAGAACTGACCAATGGTGAGAGGAAAAACGATCATTGAAGCCTTCAGTAATGGTATCAACATTCATACACTTCAAAGACCATTGAATAATCATCTAGAGAACGGTGAATAAGTTTTAAAAAATGGGAAACTGGATGAGGAGTTCACAACAGGAAGAGGAATCATCATTTCAACTTAGGGTTAAATACATTCTTATAGCTCAAAATAGAGTTCAATAGTGTTATAAAAACCTCGAAGAATTCCAGTAGGATATCTTTAATCATTTCTAAGATACAGCAGTTCAGAGCTTAATCTAACAATTGAACAATTTTGCTGTAACACGATTTCGGCAATTTTGCTGTTACTCCCGGTATGCTAAAATTCAATGAAATTTATAGGGAAAAAGATGGGTCATATTGAAATAGTGTTGACATTGTGTAAAACACGACATGGAGACTCCTCATTTTCAATCCAGAATACTATCCTCAGAACATGTGCCGTTACTCCTACAAAAGAAAAAAAGAGGGTGAAAAATAAAGATAAAGAGAAAAAAGAGAAAGAAAAAGAGAGATCGACCAACCAACACCTACACACACACACACACACACACACACACACACACACACACACACACACACACACACATATATATATATATATATATATATATATATATATATATAGGATACTGTGCGTTTATATTCTTTATTTTTATGTGCCATGCCTTTTCAGGGCGTAGGCGATCATGGCTCTCCACCTCCCTCCATGCCTTGCAGCTCTCAATAAGTTCCTTCCAATTGCCACCTCCCCCAGACCACGTTCTGCCATTCACTTACTTAAGGCCGCTAGGTATGTCATGTGTTGTTTTTCCTTGTCTCTCTTTCCCTCTATTCGACCCTTGAGTATCAAATTATCCAGGCCATCCTTTCTCATGATGTGTCCCAGTATCTTCAGCTGCCTCTTCCTGATGTTAAGTATAAGCCTCCTCCTTGTTTGCATCCTATGTAAGATCTCATCGTTGCTCACCCGCTCGGTCCATGATATCCGCAGAATTCTTCTGTAGAACCACATCTCCTTCGCCTCGAGTCTCTTCTTCATCTTTGAGGAAATCATCCAACATTCGCTGCATTAAATAAGGACTTCTGTCACGAAACAGCACAAAATTCTTTACTTTGTTACCCAAAAAATCCTCCTGTCTTGCAATACTCTGCCCAGCTTTTGGAATGTCGTCCTTGGCCATCCTAATACGTCTACGGATTTCAGCATCGCGTTTATCGTCGTTTTGTTAGAACGCTTCACAGATATTTAAACTTCCGCACCTGCTTGATTTTAGTCTCCCCAGCGTGCAAATAGCATTTCGGGCTTATCTTTTTACCGATGGCCATGCAGTCTGTCTTCTTGTAGTTTATGCATAGTCCTTTTTTCTCACTCTCCGTCGCTACCTTCTGTAGGAGATTTTGTAATTTCTTTTCTGTTTCTGCTATCAGTACTGTGTCATCTGCGTATCTTGTTAAGATTATGACCACCAATTCTAAGAGATGAACAGATTTAACATCAACATTATAGCTGTATGTGAAACCAGATGGCCAAACAACGGAGATTTTATCAGTAACAAACACAGGATAGTTTATGCAGGCGACGCGTTTATATATATATATATATATATATATATATATATATATATATATATATATAATGATAGAATGTCGGAAAGATATATTTTGCCATTTGAATCTAAGATTTTGAATAACAGCTTTCTAAACACGAAGCATCTCCATCTCTTGCTTTGTTTCCCTCAACTTTTATTTACTTTTTTCTCACTCTCTCCACTGTCTTCCTCTGTCTTTTCATCACCTTTACCTCTCTTTCTGACTCTTTCTCTTTCCCAGTCTCTTTTCTTCTTTACCCACTCTCCCTCTCTCTTTATCGCTTTCCTCTTACTTATCCTCATATTCTCTTTTCCCGCCCGCTCATTCACATTTCCTTTCTTCTCTTTCTCAATTACTCATTTGCCATCCATCTTTGTGTACATAGCTCTCTTGCTTCATCTACATTGTCTCTCCTCATTCTCTCTCGCTTACTCTCTATCTCGGTTCCTCTCTCTCTCTCTCTCTCTCTCTCTCCCTATCGCTTTCACTGTCCACTGTCTCTATTTCTTTTGTTCTTCTTGATCTGGCTTTATGTCTTGTAAATAAAGACAAATGATTCTTAGAATGTGATAAATTTTCCTTTTTGATTATTTGCTCAAAATATTGGAAAAAAATATTTTTATGTGACATAAAACAAAAAAAAAATAACGTTAGATTAATAATTAATTAAGCAGGTGGAGGTCGGTCGGTCGATCTCTCTCTCTCTCTCCTTTTTCTCTCTCTTTTTCTTCTTCTCTCTCTCACTTTCTCTCTCTCTCTCTGTTTTATCTCTTTTTTTTATCTATTTCCCTCTCAAATCCCCTCTCTCACTTTTTCTCGCTCTCTCTTTTTCTCGCTCTCTCTCTCTCTATTTTTTTCTTTCTCGTTTTCAATCTCTCTTTCTTTCCTCCTCTTTTTCCCTCCCTTTGTTTCTCTCTCTCTTTTTCTCTCTCTTTTTCTCTCTTTTTAACATTCTCTCTTCTTCTTTTTCCCTCTCATTTTCTCTCTCTTTTTACCGCTTCCTCATTTCTATTTTTTCTCTCTCTTCTCTCTCTCTCGCTCTCTCTCTCTCTATCAATTCCTCCTCACCCCATTACCCAGATCCTTCCCTTTTTCCGGGTTGAGAATCATGGTTCATTAGTGAGAACATTAATTCTATTTCCGTCAAAACCAGTCCTCTCCAACATACTTCACCCCGTCCCACACACTAATGTGCCACACCAAATGTGACCGTCACACACACACACACACACACACACACTAATGTGCCACACCTAATATGGCCGTCACTTCGCTAAGACTTAATCGAAAGATGGATGAGCATGATATTAAAAAAATATAAACGAATATTTAATGCGACGAATTTTCATTTTTGTTATTTGTTACAACATCATTATTTTGGGGGTCCCCCTCCTCTTAAGTTGTATATTCATATTTGTCGTCCGTGTGCGTTGCAACCAAGTTTAAAAAAACCAGACACACATGAAATATGTGACATCAGACAATGACGCGTTATTTTATCTGTGCGCACGTGGTTGGCGCACGCACGTGTAGGAGTGGCTAGACGAAATCAAAACAAATCATAATATGAAAACAACAGCAGATGCTGTGTAGAGATCTATATTTTTATAATAATTTCACCTAATACAAGGGACGAGAGCAACTCAAGGTAGAGCTACTAAATGATATCTGTAACAGGAGGTGGTGGAAAGTATGAGAGATAACGAGACTAGATGATGACTGAAATTTGACCTGAAGAGGTTAAAGTTCTAGTTTTCAGGAAATCTACGTCGGCATGTTTAACAAATAGCATTTCTTTGGATAAGAAAACTGAGGGGAACCTCCTTCTTGCAAATGGAATACGAGGAGGAGATGAGAGTGATTCGGCTTTGCATTGTACAGGATGCACAGTATAAAAAAGAAGCGGCAAATTTATTATCACTGTTTATTCTTTCAGGAATAACTGAATAAATTTATTGAATATTCATGAACTCGAATAATCATTCGACTCCTGTCTAATTACTTAATTCTGATTGGTTCTTTTATGATCGATTAAATGCTGTTCGATTTTGTGGCTCGGCATTTAAAGGTTATTTGCTTTCGTCTTTCGTTCTACCCTTCTCATATGTCTAAACAACTTGATTTTGAGTGCAAAGTTATCGTATTTTTCAAAGAACATCCGACGTAGGGATTGACGAAATGTGCAGAAATTCTACCTGGATTTTCCAGTCACATCAGTCGTCACAGATTGCGTCACATATTTTCGAATTTACCGCCTTTTTTTGGCCCCGTTGTTATAATGGATGATCCCAACTATACATGTCTGAACTGTTAAAACTAAAGGATACAGCTCGTTTGAACATTTGCCATGGAAATAGCGATAGAGCGGCGATATGCTTTCAACATGGTATCTGTAGAAATGAGTCAGTAGAGTCTACTTCTACAAGAGCGAGTAAAGCATTTTCTAAGGATTTGAAAGTTTAGCGTTGAAGAGAAGCAAAAACAAGTTTTAAAGATTTTGAAGCATCAAAAAAATAACTGTTAGAACTTTAAGGTAACCTTGATATATGAGGGAAGGATATTAGAATAACCCAGAGCATGTACTGAGGACAACGTTTCTGCATTATAGATAGACTAATAGCATGGCCCTGCGTTGCTCGTGCTTGATCCAAAAATCGTACGACTCATACAGCAATCGCTATCACTTGACTTAAAATATTTTTGCCCTTCCTTGCCTTTAAAGGAGTGCCCTTTGCCGTGCTGATGTTGCTACATGCCTTACGTCTTGCCTATCTCACACTGCGAATTTTTTCTAAGCTCTATACTAAACATTAAATCTTTTACGAAAAAAGAACTAAACAAAATGAACACAAAACGATCAGCTTTAAAAAAGGACTCGTAACTGGAAAAACCGAATGAAAAAAAAATGTTAACAACAAATACTTTTTCACACCCAACCCAGTTCTGCGGAACCAGAATCAACGTTGAGTTTAAGCAAGTGAATGAGCCAAGTGGAGTAAAGTGACATGCAGATTTAAATTTTTTCCTGAATTAAAAAATAAAAAAAACGCTTGATAAAGGCAATTCGACGTAGACTAATGGTCTCGTTAGGTCAATTAGTGCCTGAGAAGAAACTATGAACTATTCTGCAGCTAAGCTATGCTTAGTAAATCGATATATATGTATACCGACTGTAACAGCAAAATTGTCCTATTGTTTGATTAAGCTTTGAACCGTTGTATCTTAAAATGATTAAAGATATCTTACTGGAATAATCCCAAAATTTTTTTTACGCTATTGGACTCCACTGTGAGCAATAAGAATGCATAATTACTCTTCAAGCTTAACAGAAGAATTTTGATGAAATCGATCATAAACAAAAATGGCATGTTCATCGTTAATTAATCATAGCTAAGGATCGAAAGCTCATAAAGTATAGAAAGAAAGTTAATATATATATATATATATATATATATATATATATATATATATATATATATCAGGATCATTTTCAAACGTATTCAAGATGATCTTCGCCCTCTCTAAGCTTCTAACATTCTATCCTGGAGTAACAAGGTGCCTCAAAGTTTTCATGTACGATTTAATTTTCAAGCCTTTTTTTCACAGCTTTTTGGACTGTCATAGCTGAAACTGCTCTGTCACGTGGCACACGTCTTATGGATTGAGTTGAATCTTTTCTAATTGATCTCTTTAGCTCTAAGTTGAAACGACGATCTCTCTTCCTGTTGTGACCAATGAAGATGAGGATAACAGTTTAAATAATGTAAATAATGCAATTAATAATGGTTTAGTCATACAAATCTTACTTAACCCGTGGCTGCGTGGTGAATAGGTGGATTGATGGCTTTCACATAGATATTTGCGCGTAAGTGAATATAACGCACACAACTGGAATTTGAACTCAGCTCTCCGATTAACAATTGCCCGCTATTATCCATCAACAGCAAATCCAAGTTTACAACACAGGTTAGTCTCAAGTGGTCACCAACCTAGGTGCTGACCAGGCTCGACATTGCTTAACTGATGTAATCATACAAGAACCAGTGTTTCAACGTTATATTTCCGTAAGTCAAAACAAAAAGGACTGTGGGGAACAGCGAACATTTGTAAATCCATGATAGAACAAGTAATAGGAATGATAGTACAAATAGGAAGTTGGGAAGAGCCCTGAACAATCAGTAGTGATACGATACACAAAATAAGTTTTACTGTGTCAATGAGTTTGATCCACATTAGATATTCAAATTCTTGTGAATCCATTATTTAAGTACCTTCAAGGTATGCCCTTATCCATGTGTTCGTACATTATTTGGTTGTTGTCGATCCTCACTGGGAACCGCAATGTTCTCATCATCATCATCTTGCAGCCTCAGCCGAGATTGAACTCACTACACCTTTCCAGTATTCCTTATCTGTCATAGCTAATACTTTGATTGGTGTAGTTCATAATCTTGTCAAATAGCTGAATTCTTGATGCTTCACTTGGGCCATCAAGGGTGTTTTTATCGTGACACCATCACTAAATGGATTGCCAAGCAAGGCTCAGAGAGACTCCATTCACCCTCATCTAAGATCTTTGAAGGGACGAATACAAAGACTTGGTGCACCGAATGCTACAAGGTTTCCAAACGACCCTCTGCAGGTTTTGAATTCAGAGTTGTCCTTCTCCTAGACCAGTTGCCATCCAAGGTTTTAGAACCCGGTCTGTCCTGCTATTTTAGCCATAGCTGGAGGGAGAGGAAGAAGAGGATTTATACCTTTCCCAAGGGTATTAGCACGTAAGTGAATGTAATGGATTCAACTGGAATTCGAACTCGGCTCTCCGATTCCTCAATCCAAGCCGCTATCCATTACTCCACCGTGCCTCCAATGTTCTAGCCTTGTAGAAAACTATGCTGACCTACTTGTTATTGGCATTTACAAAAGTTCATTTTGGATGTTAATAATTTTCTGCTACTTTAATTTAGAAATACAAAAGATATGAAGTTGTGAAGATGTTGATCATCCTGTAGTGATACGAGACAAAATAACTTTTACTGTGTGTCAATGAGTGTGATCCACATTAGATACGCACATTCTTGTGAATCCATTATTTAAGTATCTTTAAAGTATGCCCTTATCCATGTGTTCGTATATTATTTGCTTGTTGTCGATCCTCACTGGGAACCGGAATGTAGAAAACTATGCATGCCTACTTGTTATTGTCGTTTACAAAAATCTATTCTTTTCTGCAAACTTTTGCATTTTTATTTTGTATAAAATCCTGACGTTACTTTCGATACTATTTTTGCGAAGCGTCTCAGCTTGGTACTAAACTCCAGTTTTGCTCGAAAAGTTTTGGGGATAGAGGGTCGGGTAGAGAGATTTATATTAAGTCCCTGACAAATATCCTAAGGTTAAGAGAGACGTCGAAAAATAATTGGAGCTCTCAACTGCACACAGCACCGCTTCTTACCCCTTCGGCGTTCCTCTTCTGTCAAGAGTCGCCAACTCTTCACTGGCAGGTGTCGGGATTTCGAACAACTGACCAGACGTTGGTCAAATCAGAGGTCAGCTTGTTGTCATTTGTTAGTGGCCATCGTTACTGATTTAGCACGACTTGCTAACTACCTGGAAGTGTCCACAAGCATTCTGCTTCCTAACAAGCGAGATTTCTTAGTAATTTCACTGCTCAAGGTCAAGGACAGAATGACAGTGTTCTTGAGGATGATACATTTAGCAGCTGTGATTCGTGACGTTTTTCGAACATTTCATTAATGCCAGTCTGGACAGGCCAAATATTGCACGCCTCCTTGGACACTCCTCAAGAAAAGTGGGGGATATTTTCTCCCTGGGGTCGTCTTTTGATTGTGGAATGAAATCGAGTCAAATTATTAGATAAAATTCGCTGTAACGACTTCACGTCTTTGAGAAAATCCTATGAAGACTTCTTTAAGGTAAGTGATTAGTAATTTTACAAGTATAAAGTTATAAATCTCATTAGTTGAAAAGAAACATTAAACATTGTGCATGAACATTTAAAGTAAACAGATACATCGCATTGTAATATAGTTATACGTTTCCCAGCAGTGTTAAAGATCGGGGTTCGAGCCTAGCTAAAGGC